GGCCTGCCGCGGGAAGGGGACAGCCCCAGCTGGAAGCAGAGCCCGCGAGCACGGCGGACACCCGCGTGTCCAGGAGGAACGGGGCCACGGTCACAGCAGCCGCCCCGGCAGCCGAGGCACTGACACCCACACGCTGGTCTTAAAGCACAGGGAAAGCGGAGGGCTGCAGCCTCCCCATCAGCTCCATAGTTACTAGTACAAAAGGCTCCCTTATCTATCGGGATGCACAGAAATGTTAAACAAGCCCTTGGGCAGCGCTCCTGGTGTCAGCCTTGCTGCACGCCCTGAGTGACAAGCCCTGCCCGTCCCCGCCCGATCGCTCACCTCAGGGTCCCGAGGACTTTTTGGGGAAAAAAATAATGGTCTTTTGCCAAAGAGGAAATCAAGGCAGAGAGAAGAGAAAGGACTTTGCCGAGGCCACAGGCTGGTGGCAGAGCTGGCGTTTGCTCATTGACTCTGGCTCCGAAGCCACCATATCACTCTCCTCTCCTCTCGCTGGGTGGGTGGTGGTAGAGACCCCATGGAAAGTTCTCGAGGTGGCAAACACCGACCCTGTGTTGCGGTCCCCTCTCCACCTGCACCTCGCTACCCAGCGCTGCTCCATGCGCCCGTCCCACGGGCATCTCCCATTGCTGAGACAGACGCCACCCGTCCTGCCACGCCGGCTCCCTGCTCCGCATCTTCCACCCCAGCGCTGCTCATCTGCAGGAAAGGAAATAAATCTTTAAGTACAAAGAACTGACCCCTGGGAACAGCAGGAGCTGAGTTTTAGTCCCTGCCCAGTCACCATCTCGTCCTAAAAGGACTATAGTTGTTGCTCAGATTTAAATGTAAGGCTTTATTTTTGTGGGTCAGAGCCTGAAGAGGCAGCTGCTGCTGCCTGCGGGATGGTTAACTTGTGAGCATCGCCTGCCTGCGCTGGAGAGGAGTCAACTGAGATATTTCCATGAGTCCTCTTCAATTACCAGGACCCTTTCATAACCACAGATGTTCCTATCAGTGAAGCAAAGCTCACGGGGTGAGATGCTATCTGTTATTTAGACCAACTGGTACAATTGCAAAAACAAGTTTTCGGGCACGAAAGGTCTTTTTCACGCTCCTTCGGCAGCGTGTCTTTTGAAACAGCCTGGCATCCCCTTCGCTCTGGGAGCTGGTACCAGGAACAGGCTGGAAAAGGCTGGTTATGGGTAGCGGATGGAAAATGAAGAAAGAAAAGTGGGAAAAGCCCCGTCTTGGCCAGGCCGAGGTACACACAGGATCCCCCGACTCCCCTTCCCCCTGCCAAAGCCCAAAGCGTTTCAGAAGACACTCGAACAATAGTAGCTCCCAGCTGAGACCGATGCTTTCGAAGCCTGTGTCCAAACACAGGGAAGCGGATTTTATGCCTAGGAAGCGAAGCATTTTCTGGGATACAGAACGCGCTGTTCGCACGTTGCCATGGCAAAGAGCTGCCACCCCAGGGAGGCAGAGGCAATAAGAAGTTTAGTCATAGAAAATGCAATACAGAAAAACTTGTGCATTTCAAAATTGGGATGCAGAATAATCCCAGTTTGGGCTGGGTTAATTCACCCGTGGCTTGACTCGGAGGGGCCGAGCACAGCCAGCACGAATGAATGAACGGTTCTGTATTTCGGGCCAAACTTAAGGCAGTGGAGAGGCACTATGGATTAATTTGGCCCGTGGAGTAACATTAAGCAAAACTCAAGAGAAAACTGTGATTAAGATCACACGGAAACACCATCTTATCCCAGCAGCATCCTGGGAAACATCCTTCATACCAGAGGAGCCTCTTTTGGAACACGCTCAACTCACTGTCGTAGCTGCAATCTGCAGGACACGCTGCTAATGCAGAGCAACTTCAGCAAACTCCAATTTCAGGCTCAAGCAACTGATGAAACCGCAGGCACAACAAAATCCTGCTGCAATCCTTGCAAGACTGTCCCCTTCTCTCTTTGTCAACATCCCAGAAATAAAGTATTTGCACTGTGCCAGAGCCTCAAGCACCCACCTGCAAAGGTGGCAGAGGGGCCACGCTGCACCAGGCATGGACGGAAAGGGGGACAAGGGAGAAACCCCCAATCCGCTGCGTCTCAGCTCTTAACGAGAGCAGCCTTTGCCTCTGCGCTGAGCGAGCAAACAAAAACATCCCAAGTCCATAGCGGGAGGAAGGGGAAGCAGACTGACAGAAACATTGAGGTTGGACAGGAGCTCTGGAGATCACCTAGTGCAACACCCCCCCCCTCTCAAGCAGGGTCAATCAGGTCTTCCCCCTTCAACTATCAGTTGGGAGAAACACATATTTCCAACGGGATGAAGAGCAAAGTACGAATTAGGCAGCCTACAGCTCACCGCACTCCCTCTGAGCAGCCTCCAAGACAGCTCTGGGACCAGCAGGAATTTGCTCCAGGGCACATGCTGACTTCAGTCTGCAACAACTCAGCTGCGTTCTACTTAAATTTCTCAACCTTATTTCTTCTGAGGTATGACAGTTTCAAAAATATGTCCAGTTCGATTATTCTTTATGCGTCAGGGGTCTGCTAGGATTACAGCAGCTGCAGACATCCACCCCTGACGCCGTATCGTGATGTGGCTGGTTAATTATTTTAGGGCATGATTCTCAACCGGTGTAAATCAGCCTGGTTTGGTTGACTTCAAAAGCAATAGCTTGTCTATGACCAGTAGAGATTTTAGTAAGTAAGAAGTTATGTACAGGACTGTTAATGACGGGACCTTTTTTAAAACATTTGTATAAACACTTTTAAACTTCAAGACGCTCCGTAGACATTATTTAACTCTTCTGCACACGGACGCATTAGGTTTGAACGCCATTTCCATGTACTACTTCAGTGTTGTTTAAAGACATGCTTCAGAAGAAAACCAAAACTCCAAACTTCTGGAGTTTTTGGTTTGCTTTTTCTAATGAAGACTACACACCTTTATCTAGTGAATACACCACACAAATACAAACAAAACACATTTTGCTCCCCGTAAGAAAAAGAGAGCTTGCCAAATTCTGCATTTCAGTGGTGGGCAACGGCCTTACACACAGCCCTGCCACAGCATGACCGCCACCAAAGCTGCTCAGCTCATCGGTAGGGATTTCCTGTATCTTCTACAAAATCCCCTGCAGACATCTCTGTTTCCAGCATATCTATTTCCCTTTCCCAGCACCAGAGCACAGCCAGGTAGGAGTGGCAGCTCCTTCTCCTCCCATAAAACAAAGCTTCTTGCTAACAAAACTTCTCCAGCGAGGACTGCCAAACAATCCTAAAGAAAGCTGGCCTTCTTGGGCTTGAATTTATGAAAAGAGAAGCCCCAGGTACTTTAAAGTATCAAAACAGCAGAGGAATTCTGGCAGCTCGTTCCCCCTTTCTCCCAGAGCAGCGACGAGAGCACAAGAGCTGCCATAAGCAGAGCTATCAATCTGCCAAGACCCCAACGCGCGATACAGAATAAAAGCGAGGAGCACGCAAGAAATGAGAAAGCTGTAAATAATATGCATATATAAATATTCAGAAAGTGTCGAGTAGTCTGCTTTTTTCTTCTCAAAATTACGGACCAAGCTTTTAAGTGCCCAATACGCACATACTTTTTCTTGTACACGACACATCAGAGGGCCACTCTCTTCAAGCCGTCTTGTCTCCTTCAAAAGAACTAGCAGAGTACATTCATTGTGTTAGGTAACTGATTAGTTAAGAAAACAAAATGCAGCCTTGGGAGACAGGCAGATCTTTTCGGTAATATATAGGACACCGGAAAAATGGTATCACATAAGCAAGATGACATTTGCTTTCCATAAATCATTTCTGAGTCTCAGGTTTCCAAAGAACACACCTGAGAGTAAACACCACGACGCGAAACCTGCTCTCAGAGCCAGAGTAATTCCTCACCTGCACTTACACGGGCAGAGAGCACAGACAGTAGATTTATAAAAGATTTATTGATGTAATGCAGATGTCAAAATCCCAGATCCCTTCAAATGTTACCCAGCATTGCATTTTCCGGGAAATTATAGTTTACGTATGTTAATTGAGACTGAACTAGCTAACCATGCATTTGCACAAGCTTAATATATGTATCCATCTGGAATTGATTTTGATAAAAAGGTTAAATACAATAGCAAGCGAATGGGTTCTTGTACCTTGTACAATACACATACCACAGAAGACAACATGGATGCTGGCAAAAATCCGTTACGATAACAAATCAGCAATTCCCAAGGCGGAACATCCAACTTCAGATATCTGTTAAAATATTCTTGCTGGCTAAAGATACCTGCGATCTGCTTCCATCTGCTTTTCATAAGTTTAGAACATGTTTCAATAACTTAATTTTAGAAAAGGAAGACAGATAAAAATGTAAACAGTTGCAGCCCAAGGCCACAGGATGTCAAACACCACCAGTGACTGCTAAGAGTAAAAATGCTAATTTTAAAATTAATGTCACATCATTCTGTGATATGATCTACTCATCTCTGTTGTTTTGTTGCCCATTTAGAGAGAAAATATATATTGATGTATGATGAAAACCACCAAGGACTTTCCCTCTCTAATACTATACTTACCCAGTCAAAACATACCTTTAGTCTTCAGCCTTGGAATGCATTTAATATAAGATAAATCATGTTTAAGACGTGACAAATATATTTTTTGCTAATTTCCTTTCCTCTCCAAACATCAAAGAAGCTTAAAATACCATGGAAATGCGTATCATAAATCCCCCAGACACTGGAAGTTATCACTCCCTTTCACATAAAACACAACTAAAGCTCATAAAGCGTAAATTCTTTGCATGAAAACACAAAATAAAACCATGACAGAAGGGGGGAGGGAAGACAGACCTTGAATCAGAGTATCTGACATCTTGTCTATAAGCCACAAAATTCCCAGGATGCACTCCAAACTTTATGACAGAAGGGGGGAGGGAAGACAGACCTTGAATCAGAGTATCTGACATCTTGTCTATAAGCCACAAAATTCCCAGGATATACTCCAAACTTTATTTCCTATTTCCAGACATTATAATAATTATAAAAGAATTGCGGCAGTCATAGTATAAAACCAGTGCCATGTGTAACCATGACTTTATGTATATATATGTATATATACAAAAGATTTATTATAATCATCAATGCTTTCAACATTAAATACTTGATCCTGAAATCTTTAATCAGGCAAAAGCTCAGTACACAGAAAATTCTGCTTCAACCAGGACTGATTCTCATTCTTCTAAACCAGATTAGGACTTCACTTCAGTGTTCACTCATTAATTTATTCCACGGTCGACAGCATGTTCACAGGACTGTGACTTGTCTATATATAAATATTGGAACAAACGTTCAAAGGGAAAATAGACACCTCACGCCTAAATGTTCTTCTGTTTGTATTACTAAGAGCCTTAACATTTGAGTCCAGAGCCTCAACTGCTGTAAACTGGTCCAACCCAGCTGATTTCAGCGGCAATATGTTGATTTAGCTGATTGATCTGGATCTCTCTTTTATCAAGTACGGACTGTCAGACATCCTTGAGAACAGTTACCCTACCAACAGATCCTCTCACTTCCATGATACCAACGGCCTACTTGAAATTGTCTGGCCAGATACCAAGCAGTTCTGGTACGTTACCCTGTGTTCTGATCCCTGAGAACAGCCCTTTTCACAAACAGCTCCAAAAGTTGGCTTTGTATTGTAGACCGTATTCTGAAAACCAGTTGGGCAATTCAAAAGCATATGAAAGCAATTATAATTATACTACTGCTGTGATAATTAAAACATTGCCAGCTGTATGTAAGCCTATTCAAATGTACAGCTGTTATATGGGTAATGGAAAAAACACAAAAGCTGCAGATTCTGTGACCCATAATTTCTCAGACTGCTACCTTACAAACTCAGTTGCTGCCATACCCGTTTGTGACAAAATGCCAAAACGAGTGTCCTTTTCCGTGCTTTCTTGTAAACAATTGGTTCCCTCATCACCTCTGAGTAACAAAAACTGTAACATCTTTTACAACGATGTCCAATACAAGATTAAACTGGTATCAAGTAAAAACCAGAAAAATATTAGCTGATTCTCCTCTGCTGAAATTGTTGCCAGATTTGGTCTAGATGCTTCCTACGCTTGGTCACCTTTGTCTTCGGTTGCCATTGCCGAGTCTCTCTGCTGTTCTTCCGGATCCCCTGGAAGAATACTGGTGACTGTCTGGAGAAGTGACTCGATCTGCTCTTCTGTTAGCCTTTCCTCACTTTCTTCTACCATCTGCAGGCCAAAAAACAATCTATTGTTATCATTAAATCCGTACTTCCTTCCTCAGCTCCAAGCAGAAGGACTCAACTAATTGGGAAATACTATTTTCAATGGATGCAAGACATAGTCTGAGCTCATTACAAAAGCATTTTACAAAGTGGAACTCTTACAATATTTAAAAAAAGAAAGAGCTCCATTGTTAACCACGACAATTGGCACTCCATAATGAGACCCTGCTTTCTTTACACGGAAAACAACACACTCAGAGCAGGCTTTCCTCCCTGGTTTCTCCTAAAGCCTCTCAACCTACACATCAGTATCTTGAGCCAGGCTTTTCATTTAGCTCACGCGCAGAGCTACCTTCCAGAGTTATTCTTCTAAGTTCCTGTGCTTTCATGTGAAAACTGAAATGACATAACCTGACAGTGGTTACCTGAGCCTCGGTACCTTATCCAGCACCTAGGCTTATGTAATTAGGCCATAAAAGAAGCCGTCTAATCCTACAGCAGCCATACATTATTGGAATTTACTTAGATTGTGAGATTCCTGAATATAAAAGCATATAAAAGCTCTGAGCAACACAAAACATGCTGTCACGAATCAACAATAAAATTCCGTAAGATTAATTAGGGACCTACTCTCGCTGTGGAGCTGTGGGAACTCTTATATCACTGCTACCAGTAAAAACAACTGCCCTAATTTATATGCAGCTGTTAAAAGGAAAAGCTTGTCAGAGGACTGGAAAAGCAAGCCAAATGAACTCTTCAAACGCAAATGAAACCAATTAGCATTGCGGGGTTTGAGATTTTCTTTTTTATACAAAGTCCTTTAAAATGTCCTTTGAAGAGCGGCGATTTATATTAATTATGGTTCCAAGTCAATGCAGGTTTAATCAGTTGTAGCTATCAATTGTCAGCTATTCAGATGCCTCTTGCCTTCTAAAAAGCAGAGTGGTATATTCAATTAACGGGTTTTTTTTTTTTCCTTCAATGTCCTATGAGCCCTCTTTGCACAATCTGATCATCTTTCATCAGCCATTATCCACAGATCCTTGACGAGAGGAAAGCAAGCATGCTAGAACCCACTCATGTAGCAAAAGGCAGACAGTGAATATCCATTTGCAAATGACTGTTTCTGGGGCCCATACTGATCAAAGGATGAAATTCTCTGTGGAGTGGCTTTCCAACTACGGTTAGTTCAAGAACTACTGTAGGACCCTGGCTTGAAAAACAGCCCTGGCTCTCATTACCGCCAGCTGCTATACTATACACTATGAGTTAAAATATACTAAAAATCCTCCTAATGTTACCCTTCTGTGTAAGCAACTGCTGCAGCTACTGAAGTGGTATCAGACAGTTGCCTGCTAGACTGCATTTCAGAAGTGATCATCTCAGCAGCTTGACCAGCATACCTTGGAGCATCAACATTATACAATAAAGTATGTTACAGTGCGTACATACGCTCTTTTGTTGCCAATACTGCTGACAAAGCCATTACTCTACAGATGACCTACGCGGTTAAGTTTTGTAGAGGATTATCAGCCTGGTTTTTGGACTGGATTATAGTCTTATTAATTACTGTTACATTCAACTTTAAAGGTGACAGCCCCATAGCAGCAGGAACCGTACAGAGAAAAAGCCCACATCCTTTGGACAGGCAATATCACTCAAGGCAGAATGATTTCTCTCTTGGTGGCCAATGTCTCCTGCATTCGTTACCATCCCACTGCTTTCCGATCTTCAGAAAAACAGTACCTTGCCTGGTTTAGATTTGATTTCTTGGGTCACACGAAGTCCGCCCCTCTTCCGCATTTAAATTTTATCCCTCCCTATACATCTCCTTTCCCTTTCTTCTCCAAACACTTTCTCCTAGGTGCTTGCTTCAGGTAGCCAGAGTTAAACACAAGGATTTGATCAGAACTGAAACAGATAATAGAAAGTTATTTCTAGATCAGCATCGACTCTTCTCCACTTCTGCATTTAAGGCAGAATACACTTACCCGAGTGTCTAATCACTGCTTCTTACGTGCCCCTGAGTGCCAAATGAGCAATGCCCCAACTCCCAATATGAACAATCATGTTGATGTCGTTTGTACTGGCTGAAGACGGAAGCCTGAGAGATTGACAAACTGCAGATACAACTCGGGACATTGGCAGATGAGCTCTGATGATTGCTCTGGCAGTTTAAGAAATCACACTTTACCAGAAAGTTGATGAAAGAAAATAGTCTCTCATGTTTCAGATGCTTTGGTGCTGTAACTGATGTCTCACTAAACCGTTGAGAAAAGCATCTTTAAAAAAGATGCTGGATACTGCACTACGAAGCGGGTAAAGTAGCTCCAAATTTCCTTCTGTTGACAGATCTGTCGTCTCTGCCAGAGGGAAGTGGTAATTCCTTAAACTGTGTAGCAAATTCATCAACGGCTCACCTCTCGGTGCCTCCGAGCTGTGCATCCTCACTGCCAGCTCTCACACCAGAAATTACCGATAGACAAAAATCTACATTTGGCAGGATGGACAGCTTATTATTCAAGTTGATGCTTCAGCGCTATTTTGCTGTGATACTATTCAAGAATTCAAAGGATCAAAAGCATAAGCTATAAAAATCAATTTTTTTCACTCTTCAGGGAAACAGCCTGAGCAGCGGCATACGAAAACATAAGCAATTAGGAAGCAGCAAAGCAGCACGCCAAAAGAAAAAAATCAAAAATTAAGCACAGAGAGCATGTAGATAAAGAGACAAATGAAACTGTCCTAAAGGAAAACAGATATCAAGGGAAACAGAAGGTCACTCAGAGGCTTATTCTAGATTCAACAGATGTTTGCACAGTCTTCTGATTTACAACTGTAAGACAAAATACCTTTGCTACTGATCGTACTAGGCAATAATGTTATGATGCTCAGAAGAGAAATTACGCGTAAGAAAAAGCCTAAGAGGCAAAAAGAAACAACTGTATTCAAGTACCTACTTTTCCAGCAAGAATTTTACCAATATATGAAAAAATATCTATCAAAAAGCCTTGCTAACCTCTAGCTTGCAATTGGGCTGAAACTGCTCAAGCAACAGATTCAAACCATAAGCAGTCAGGAATGCAAAGTTTATACTAAGGAAAACAAAAATGCAAATGTTTTTAATAAGCGTATGACATAAGGTGTTTATGTTGGCAGTGCCACACAAGCCAAATGGAAATAGATTATCCTCCCAGATGATGCCATGTGCAAAGCGTAGGGTATCATCAACCAGAGCTCCGGTGAACTGTGTATTTTCAATATTCAGGGGTTTGCGCAAGTAACAGAATTGGACAATATCACAGTATCACAATTTACAGATAAAAAGCACCCTGATGTGCAGCAAGACAAGCATGTCTCCTTCTCAGGGCTGAGAGCAAGGATTTTCTTGAAATGAACACAGAGAAAGTCAGTAAGTCATATCAGCTATGCTGCTTCTTGTAATAAATAATTCCCAAGCTGTTACTGCTTTTCACCATTCAAGTCTATACTATCGCAAAATAACTACGGTGTTTTTGTAGCAAATGTTGTAGCATATCAATGTCATTCATACATATACACAGCATGTATTTCCTATGAAACGCAACTAGGGGGTCAAGATCAGCTCTGTCAAGTCAGGCTTTAATAACAACTTCTATTTCACTCAAACTAGTAACAGTTAGCTATTAAACTCTCATTGCAATATATTCATACAGTAAGCATTTTTCACTTTTCATTTCCCCCCCAGCTAATGCTCTAAAGAATATAATCTACAAGATGACCAAAGAAGAAATCAAGGAAGGAAGAAGGAAAACTTTATTTGGTAACTTAATTGGCATAAAATTCTTACAGCTAATAAAAAGGAGGCATGTTCCCCCTGCAGCTAGTATATACTTTTCAATCCTGAGTACCTAGAGTTGCTTCTTTCTTTATTGATAAATGTATTAATAAAACCAGCCAGATCTTCAGAACTGTGGAATATATACAAATTATTCAGAAGGCAGCTGAAGCCACTGTACTGCTCACCTTTGAGAGCGATGCTACCTTTATTTAGAAGTCTAATAACCAATTTTTCACCTGCTTAAGCACCTTGTACCTACAACTGTTAAGCCACAGCTTATGTATTAACTTAATTTCCAGTACTCAAGAGGTCCAACTAACTTAACTAGACTTTAAGCTTAAAATTAGGCAAACATTTACTAAATGGAGAGTACATCAAGAAAAGGATGCCAATTCTGTTCTGCCTCTCCAGATCCATCTATGCATGGACTTTCCAACACAGCAAAATGAAACATGCATCCAACATCCATCACTGAATCTTGCTACAAGAGAAGGAAAAGACAAATCGCTCGTCATCTGCAGAATTAAACACTGGCAGATGCCTTGCTCAGTAACGTAACCGCTACTGGGAACCAGAACTGTGCTTATTAAACAAATGTGTATGTGGAATATTTTACTACCACGCAGCCTTTCCCAGCTGCACATTTTAACAGTAGCTTTTTTTAATTGAGCACTACGTATGAATTTCTCAGAGGAACAAAACAACCATAATTACCAAATCAGAATGTAATAATAGAATTACATTAAGCAATAAGTCACATGAAAACCTGCTGATAAATTCTCATGGCAGAAAGTCATTTTCAGAAGCTTTTATTTATTGAGAAGGTAAATCAGAAAATAACAGCTAGCCTGACTATCAAGATAATTTCAAAGATTAAAGTGTTTATTCATAAAATAAATGTGCAAATCTGTGTGTTCATAGTGCCATGTTCACGTGTAAGCACAAAATATGAACACAGACGTATATATACACACATGCATACTTGTCTATTTTTTTTAATTCGGTGAAACAAGGACAAACATTTTAGGAACATGCTTTCCCTAATTATAACCATACTGTATCTTTTCTGCTTACCCAAGTAAAAGCAAAGTATAAGAGACTTCATCATCCGCACTGTGCTTCTTTTAAGCTTTCAATGATAATGGTTATTTCATTTAGCCTCCTGAGATACGGCAATACACTGCAAATGTCGAAGAATAACTAAAGCCTCACCGAAGAACCCTAAAAAGTTCTGAAAGAACTGAGAAACTGTCTCAAGGGTAAGTAATAACCTCAGCATGACAGAACAGAACAATCTATGGGTTAAAAGCTATTGTTTATTTGAATAATAAGCTATGAATTCTATTTAAAAAATAATCACTAAATTACAGTAAAAAAGGAAATAGGGGTTCTGATCACTTCCAAAGCTATCAAGCACATAATTTAACTCCAGTGTAGGAGGTACATATTTTATGAGAAAATGACTGCTATTTCCTCCTTTGAGCAGTAATTTGAAATTGTTCAGCACCAACATGCTAATAGAAAAAAAGCACAAAAAAAAGAAATAGAGTAAAAGACTGAATAATTGGATTAATGTCCCTCAGAGATAATTAACCAAGTATGCAAAGTGGGTAGCAAAATATATTATTGAGAAAATAAAATGTTTAAATCCTCTAACATCTTCCATTTTCCAGAAGATTACTTCACATTATTATTTTCTATTCAACAGTGAAAGACAATCTGCCAGGCTGGTTATGCAGAGCACGTATCACGAGGTACAAAGCTCTCCGAGATGGAAATCTAGTTTTAAAAAGCACAGAATTAAAATCTACTTTTCCATTCAGAAAGAAGAATGTGGAGCAATTTGTTAATTAGAAAAGATGATGCTTAATCTTCAAGCCCATCACGGTTCAGCATTAAGTAAAGCTGGACCACTGTCATGGTTAGATCAACACCACTGTCTTTTTTTTCCTCCTTTGTGAATCACTGAGCCAGGAACAACATATGTTAAAGATTAAACAGGAGGTCAAGATAGCTGCAATGTGTACAGTGTTTTACCCTGTGCGATATGAATTAGAATTTCATGCTCCTTTTGTTGCTATTGTTGTTTGAAAATAAATCCTGGCACACAGTCCGGAAAAGACAAATATGAACAATACAGCAATTTATGCATAAAGACTTACAAAAGAACATGAGATCAAAAGATCACAACATAAATTTGCTTTTTAGCTTAACTATAATTTTACCAAAACTGATTTATTGTTTGCATACAACTAAGGGAATTTTATAGAGGGAAAGTAAAAAACCAAAAAGCTGGAAAGGCAAAAAAGCAACAAGCAGTAGTAAATATAACTATCCTCTCACATCAGCTATTAAAACCCTATCAGGTAAATTTGACTCCATTCCATGGACAGGCAGCACTGAATAAAAGTTTGAGACATCAAAACTATTCGAGCAAGTGAGAGACAGAGATATGGCTTGTTTGGCATTTTGTTTAAAGCTGGCTTTTTAAAAAATAAGATTTGCCTACATTATATGAAGTGGTCAGAAGTCGTCATCATCATTTATTTCTGATTTCAACTCCAGGAGTGACTCAAAGCTTTTGAGTAGCAGGGACAAGTTCAATGAAAAGAGAATCAAGGCAATTTTAGACCTAGTATTCACTTCTCTGTAGGTTGTCTCTCGTCCATCGACTGCAGTGAATTGATTTGCCTGCATGAAATCTGCGTATGGCTAATATTCTCCCTACCAACATCAAAGAAGAAAACGCTGGTAGCCTCCACGGCTCTGCGTTATTTTCTACTCAAAGATGCTCAGAGAAGAGACAGGTTTTCTGTGTTCAAAGACGTTGCACTGCTACAATCTCCTTCCCCCGTCCTCACCAGAAACCAAAATGATTCAAGACAGCAATTGAACAGCAAAATAATTTCCTTGCTATTGCTCCTAGTCTCTGTATTTCACTAACAAAAATGGCCTGCAGTTTCCTAGCAGTTATTGAGCTCAAAAGACTTTGATGTGCTTTGATGAAAGAGTAAGTGTACTGCAGTTTCGGGGAGACTTAACACAGCGATAACAATCCAGTCAACCTAGTTTACTGTAATACTGGTTTTGGAGAAACTTGTCCTGGGAATTACAGGGGTATCGCAATGGAACAAAAGTAACTGCATCCCCAATACTTCCATGACAATACAAATTCAGACTAGTCCCCAAACGTATGAATATTACATTTTTCACAAGTTGCTTTTGATCATTAGAGAAAGGTTACGTATCAATAATGGGCTGACACTGAACGCAAATCTCGTGTCTGTATTCTGTAAGTTTTAGCAATGAGTTTTATCTAACTTTGACATTACAGACCTTGGAATATCTAAAGTACGACACTCTACAGAAACCAGACTTCTAATATAAAAGCCCGAATTTCTTATACTTGCCTCCTGGACTTCAAACATGACACAGGAGCAAAACTCTTTTCAATATTTTATGGATGGATAAGATAATGAGGAACTAGGTAGGATAATGAGGGAAGGAGGGAAAAGACAGACAAAACCACAGTCACCTGAAAGCAGCAAAAGATTATTGCATTTAAAGAAGAAAAGGGGAAAAAAGACAGTATACAGCCTATATGGGAACATAATAAATCTGTGTCTAAGCACATGAAGCTAACAAAGGATGAGACAGGCTCTACATCACCACTTATGACTAACTTCCTAAGCAAAACTCATGAAGCCTTAATGCTCTTGGTTGGGTTGATGACTGACACTGATCTCTTCAATCACAAAACACAGTATCAATTCCTCAGCTAGAAGCATTTTTTTTTTTTATGAGATGCCTTCAGCATTACAGTATCTACTCCTTGGCTACAAAAGAAAAATAGTCCTACTGGTACCTCTTTAATCCTCCTGTTTTTTGCAGCAAAATATGATCCCGTTACTACATAGCTTGGTTTCAGGATAAGATTGTAAACAGATGTTCTTAATGTAAGAGATCTTTATTAAAAGAATACCCTTATTATAATAATCTCTTTATTACCACAGGATTTTGTATTCCTAAGGAGATACTTCAGAGAATATAACCATCTATTTCTATTTAGCGACAACCCCTCCTTGCATCAGAACTATGCTTAACAGATTGTTAATGGCTACTCTCCATCAGAAAGTCTGTTTATATCCATTTCTCATTCTGCACCACTGCTCAAAATTCCCTATCAGTCATTACTCATTCCTTTTTAGCGTGTTTGGTTTTACTATAACATAAAACCCTGCCATCAAAACAATCATGTCATCACAGCTGTCAAAAAGTGCAGTACTTGATTACAGAGCAGCAGCAAAAAGACTCAGGTTAAATATATTCTTACTCACAATACTGTAACTAACCTTTAACGACTGCATTGGGCATTTTCACTATGTGACACTGAAGCAAACAGAGGTGGAGAATCTGTCTGAAAGAAAGATGGGCAGGTCTCTAAGGAGGTCTCAGAGAGGAAGCAGAGTGGATTTGAAACCATGAACGTGAAGATGTGCATAAAGGGATACATTCAATCACTGACCATGAGAAAGTAATTATTCAATTGGTCTTCAAGGTTAAAGCTGCTTTCATTTAAGCTTTGAACACTCAGGAGCATTGTTACTTACCAGCTGTATTTCAACTGCCGTCACAGGCCTGTGGTTAAGCAACTGGAGCTTTTCTGCCCTGTTTAAAAGCAAAGCGTAAACCAATCCGCATTACTATATAATTTGAGAATCCCCTCAAATGACTGGTAAGATGCAAATACATTCCTGATAACTTAGGGATGAAATGCCACTGCCAAGAATAATTCTGACTGGGTTTGCAGTGAGGTTTAATTGCCATGATAATTTGGATATTTTAAATACGGTGCTTTCTTCTGTGTTTAGACATACTGCTGTTGCCACCTCTAGTCTAAGGTGGCAATGCAGAGGCCCTTAGATCATTACTGTACAAGCATTAACATGCACTGTTGCTTTGTTTAACGCTGTACAGAAATGCTAAACAACTTGTCAAAGATCAGACTCTTGCTATGAACACACGACCACAAGAACAGTTATCATACCTAAGAAGTTACAATCCACCAGCCAAATGGCAGTAACTTGTTTATTCTTTTAGCCCACCGCAAATGCAAAGTTTAAAAAAAAAAAAAAATCAGCTTGAAACCACTTGCTCACATGTACTCTCTGCAACCCATATGGTTTAGGCCAATGCATTTTTTCATACATTATTACAATGGGCTGAGGCCATACTTTTACACGTGTACCTCTGGGCAAAAATGTACCTTCATCTCTGTTCCCATGCAAACCTACCTTTCCGCTGTGTTTCTACAACTGTTGGGCACCATGCAGCAAAGCAGGTGGGGACTGAGCTGGACTGTAAAGATAACCTCTTTTTCCTGGGTTATTTTTGACTTGATTCACTGCACAGTCCCACAAAGACTTGTATGATCACAAACAGCAAGGTAGCAAAGATACAGAAAATGCCAAAAAAACCCCTCACCACCCTCAATCAGTGCCTGAGTTGTAAAAGTATGGTCACTTACTGTGGTTTAAAAGACAAGTGATAATTCATTAACTTACAATAATTCAAACACTTCTGATTACCTGTCCGCACTTTAAGGCAGACAGAAGGCAATTCTACGCATTCAGATTTGCAGTCCTGTGCCTTTAGCACCAAAGCACTTCAATCAATATTAGCTTCTTTTGTTTTGACTTTAGGTATGAACCTCGTTGCATCTGTGTTTTTAATAGTCCAATTCCACTATCCTCTGCCTACAAGGGGGAGAAGTCAGTAAAACGTGTCTGACTTTGGCAGTTAAACACAAAACACTTTAATATTCAGAGAGACAGTTTAGCACCACTGAAGCCGGTGGCAAAATTCCTGATACATTCAGACCCATCATTAAGCTCACCCAGCCTCACTGCTTTTCTGGATTCATTTTCACCATACAGCTATTAGCTCTACTTTCTCATCAAGAAATCACGATATCTCACAACTGTCCACTTAAAAGCTTTGATCATTAAATTAGAAAAAAAGGGGTATGAGGGAAAAAATTTCATTGATTTTAAATAAAAGTCTTTTTTTTTTTTTTTTTTTTTTTTT